GTCTATAAAATGCATTGCTGTTCTGTTGTAAGTAATCTTAAAGATTCCTAAATGCATCTACTTTCGGAAGGCCAAATAAAGTGCTTTTGCTTTCGCCTAGAAACACACAGCGTCTCCCTGACATGCTGCTTCAACACTAACTGCAGTTACTGAAACCATGCCTTCTTTCTTTGCGTGCACATTTGGGCGGCATTATGATACTATTTCCACATAGTGAGGTAGATATGTGGGGGCGTGTTAGAACGAGGCGTTTTAGGGGGCGTGGCAGAGTCTTAACTTTGATAAAGAATATCTCTTTGGTTTTGAGACTTTAGTCTTTGCAACTTCAGGGATCTTATCTATGCACAATCAGCTTGTAACACTCCAAAGAGAAAGGACAACTTGAAATCGCATCATATGACCCCTTTAAACATTTTAATTGTGTTGGCGTTAATAGCCTTGGACATTTTCCCATCCTGTACCCCCTCTCTCCCACTTCACTTCCTGTCTCATATACTCTCTTATCATAATTTAGATTGATTTCATCCTATGTTACCTCAGAAATAAGAGGCAGCTGGTTAGCAGCTGTCTCCCGTTCAGAAACGCGCACAGCATCCTTTATGCACTAGTAGACCTGTCACTCACCTCGTTGCCATGGTTTTGCAAAAACTCCACTTCCTGTTGGGAGAAGGTTGTCATGGAAATAGACTTAACTCTGTGGGGTGGATTGAGCCCTCTCCTGAAACAGAAACAAACTGCGTGGTTAAACGCGAAACTGAGAAGAAACGTTCAACTTGTTGGCATTTATTTGAACACAAACCATGTGAGATAAACGATGCAGGACGTGAGAGAGCCGTGAACGTGACCTGCAAGAACCTCTTGCAGCAACAAATGACAAAACCGTGAAGCAAGCGGGCTGCTTTCCCCCCCGTCCGGTGTTCGTGAGTGCAGTTGCAAACTGAAATCGTGTAAAAACGACACCATTCCTTTGCGGACATGCAGAAAACACGCTTATATGGATGTCAAACCTGAAATTCGTGACGCAAGCGAGACTGGGGCACGCCTGAAAACGACAAAGTAGTAATTACCGACTGTCTTGAGTGTAAACACAACTAGAGCTCTCTCAAGCGCGCGCTGACAGCGCTGCATTGCAGCCGCGTATTTCCCAGAGTTCGCTGAAGAATAGCCTAAACAAAACATAAGCATCTTGACACAATCACTCGGCTGTAAGAATCGCATGCATTCGGCTATCACTCACAGCATCCCGGAGCACGACGTGCATACGAAGCAGCCCACAGTGATGTCGATGTAAGTCACCCCAGGCTGGCTGCACTCGAAGCAGTGCTTGTTCACTCCCGTCTGGGCGAGCTCTCGGACCTTGCGGGCGCATATTTCCTGGTTGTCCCGGTGCTTTCGGTTCGACATGCTGGTGTCCTGCAGTCGCACACACCCCCTGGCCCTCAAGACGTTCACTCGGCCGCCGTTGCACTTTAATTCCCCCGCCGTAGTAGCCTATGTTTCTTCTCACGCCCGCATTCTGAGAGCGACTATGCGGCTGGAGGTCTTCTCATGCGCCAGCGATCTTACATGCGTAGTCTCCCGTGGTCACGACTGGCGGAGTTTTACAACCGCCCTGTTTATTTATTCATTGCTGCGGGTTTCTCCTCTGGGCGCAAAGAAAATCCGGGCTCATTATTCTTCCTCGCTCTGCTGATTCCTCTCCGTTCGCGCGGTATCACACCGTTCAGACTCTGCTGTTGCGCACCCGTCTTTCTCTCACAGATTCTGGGGAGATTGCGAACAGAAGGCAAGACGAGGACGAGGGAGGCAACTCTGTGCCTCTGGCAAGCGCGCGTGAACGCAGTGGGGATGCATCTGCTTAACAATATTATGTTTATGATGGCTGTGTGCTCATTATTTTGTGCTTATTTATTTCCTGTGTTACCCAACGACGTGAGATTTTTTTTTTTTATCTTGGACGCTTATCACGCCCTTCTGTATGACGTTTGAAATCAAAAATGCTGTCCTTCTTGTGTTTATTAACTCTTTACATGAAGTGCCCAATCAACACGCATGTGTCCCTCTTGGACCGCGACTGAAAAAGAATAGCGTTGGGATCAAATGGAGAACACTTTAGATGAATTTGAAGCGAGTGCATCCTGCGGACACATTCTTGTGTTAAATCACATTAGCGGAGACATCTCAGCAGTTGTACTGATGTAATGTTGGCCTGGTTCCTGGTCTTGCAGCGAGTCTATGGGGAAAACACACAGGATGCATGAACTGCAGTGGCGACTTGCAACCAGCAGAGGTAGCGGTTTCGCCAAACATACGAGTTAGCTGTAATTCGTTCACAGAAATGCAATCTGTAAAGTCACCACAACTGCCATATTTCCCAGGGTTTCTGCAGGTCTTAAAGGGATAGTTCACCCAAAAATGAAAAGTTGATGTGTATCTGCTTACCCCCAGGGCATCCAATATGTAGGTGACTTTGTTTCTTCAGTAGAACACAAATTGTGATTTTTAACACAAACCGTTGCAGTCTGTCAGTCGTATAACGCATGGCATTGAAAACAAAATCTATGAGAGTAAAACAAACATGCACAGACAAATCCAAATTAAACCCTGCGGCTCGTGACGACACATTGATGTCCTAAGACACAAAACGATCGTTTCGTGCCAGAAACCGAACAGTATTTATATAATTTTTTACCTCTAATACACCACTATGTCCAACTGTCTTTGTGCGCGCGCATATGGTGATTATTTTTTATGATTATTTGAATTCCTTTTATACGCAAAGCGCTTTGAAATACCATTGTGTATGAAATGTGCTATATAAATAAACAAGGCAACAGTAGGCTACTGAGGAAAATCACTGTAATTTTTGCAGTGTGTTCAGGAGTTTGTAAAAGGAATTTCCATATTGGTTGGGACCACGGGTATTCAAGCATTTCTTTTTATTAATTGAAAAGTAATCTGTTGGAAGCTGTATTTTCAAACTTTAAAAAAGTGTTGCTAATTTTCTTCCATTTTCAAAACTCGTTTCCATAAACATTTACATTTAGAGTGCATATTGATGTGTTGTGTTCCCTTCAATTTATTTGTCTTTTTTTACTTGCTCTTAAAACGGTCTTTGAAAAGTCATACATTTACCTCAATAAAACATTCAGAAACCCTGTTTTTGATGTTTCTGTATACTTAGATTACCATTATGCTAAAATGTGTAAACTGAGTTTATGTTGTAGTAGAGGACTTGCTACTACTTAGTTTACATCAATAGACAGGGAGAGAGATCAATGTTGGTAAAGGCTTAATTTAGCCTGCATATGTTAGACGTAATAGGTGTTTCGGTTTTGGCTTGATTGCTGTCACTGCTGTCAGGTGGGGCTTTCTTGTGAACAACAGGTCTAACCAGGACTAGTATGGATAAACTTGCTAGCAGATTTAGTGACAAAAGCAGTGTGGTTTGTTGACACGTGCTGTTAGAAACTGTGGGGAACACTCCCTGAAAACCCCTTCATCTGAAACTGGGATGTGGAGGGATAATCATCCACTTGTCTTTTCGTTATTAAATAAATGACTAGGCAATATGAGACTAAAGCAAAATGCTTAAAACAAGATATGTTTTAGTAAAAGACATTTGGTCACCTAAAACATAAATAATCTAATAACATTAGAAGTATACTAAATAAGTGTTCATCTCTCCTGAATTTGTCGGTGCACTAAATTACGAATCCCGGAAATAAAGTGCGCTCGCGCGAAGTGGGGTGGACCAACTGAGGCACATTCAAGAGCGAGCAAAGACTAAGTTTAGTCTCTCAAGGGAAACGAACACGGATGTGCAGTTTGATGAGCTGAAGCACATATCGCCTGAAAACCCCTTCATCTGAAACTGGGATGTGGAGGGATAATCATCCACTTGTCTTTTCGTTATTAAATAAATGACTAGGCAATATGAGACTAAAGCAAAATGCTTAAAACAAGATATGTTTTAGTAAAAGACATTTGGTCACCTAAAACATAAATAATCAGTAATAACATTAGAAGTATACTAAATAAGTGTTAATCTCTCCTGAATTTGTCGGTGCACTAAATTACGAATCCCGGAAATAAAGTGCGCTCGCGCGAAGTGGGGTGGACCAACTGAGGCACATTCAAGAGCGAGCAAAGACTAAGTTTAGTCTCTCAAGGGAAACGAACACGGATGTGCAGTTTGATGAGCTGAAGCACATATCGATGCATAAACTACGAATCTATGGACTAATAAACGGATGAAATGCGTGCTCTTGAAAATTTAATAAGAGATGAGGCCATAATTATCGGTACGGTTTACTCTATTTTCTTTTACCAGTAACTTTACTCGTTCTTTTTATATTTATGCTATTCACGAATTGTATTTCATTTCTGTGACAAGTGAATTACCGGGGAAACACAAACTTGGGTTTAGTTTTGGGAAGATGCTTTTTGCTTTCACATGGCAACACCCGTCTGATGTTTAAAGCGAAAGCATCCAATGGAAACGACTGGTTTAATTCATCTTTTCTAAACGAAGACTGATGTTGTCGACACCAGTGGTCTCACAGCGTTGGACGTTCACAGCGTAAAGGAACTCTCTTAGGACACACCACATACAGAACTGTGAGGAATTAAAAGAATAGTTCGCATCGACTGGGTTCTTTGTAATTACCAAAATGACCGTCAAACTGGATTTTGAAGAATGCCTAAAAGACTCCCCGCGATTCAGGTAAGCTACTCTGGTTTTTTATATCAAATATTAAAAAATATTTAAACAACAGAAAACAGTCGCAAAATAATAATTATGTATACACACAGGTTTGTTTTTATGGTTTATGGGGACTCTCCATAGGCGTAATGGTTTTTATACTGTACAAACCGTATAGTCTATTGCCCTACACCAACCCTACCCCTTACAGGAAACTTTCTGCATTTTTAGATTTTCAAAAAAACTCATTCTGAATTATTTATAAGCCTTTTGAATTACGGGGACACTGAAAATGTCCTCATAAATCACCTTCTCGTTGTAATACCTATGTCATACCCATGTTATTACACAAATTTGTGTCCTCATAAACCACACACACACACACACACACACACACACACACACACAAAAGACAGGTCACATGCACCACATTAAAATTATAAACTTCACTGTCATATGCAGAAGGAATGACGTAGCAGGTTTCTTTCCAAGCAGTTCCAGGATCAGGTCAATGAGTTCAGCTCAATGGTTTCGGCCCAGACGTGCTTGAGTAAAACTGATCTCAGATCAGCCCTGAATGTAGCCCCATTGGTTAATGTAGCACACAGCACTGGAAAGAATTTGCTTAGGTCCATACAGAAGGAATGAATGGGATGATGATTAAGTGGCTCTGTGGACAGCAGGAGGGAAATTTTTGGTAACACTTTATTTCGATTGTCCACTTTAGACATTCTATTAACAGTAAGTAACTTTGCAACTACATGTCAGCCAGCAGTTAGTAGAGTATTAGTAGACTGTCTGCTTAATATCTTCTAACACTTTCTTATTCTACTAACCCTAAACCTACCCTAACAGTCTACTCTGAGAGTTAGTAGACATGTAGTTGCAAATTAATGAGAATTAGTTGACATGTAGTTGACATGTAGTTACAAAGTTACTTATAGTTAGTGGAATGTCTAAAGTGGACTCGAAATAAAGTGTAACCAATTTTTTTTTTACTCTGATGGCTTTTTTTTTTTACCGTTTACGTGAATATATAATGCTATTATATATTGTCTAGAAAATAATTTTTTTAAAGGATATTGTAATAAGAATAAAACGTTTTGAGTTGTTTTAAAATCACTATTCGACTTGAAAGTTTCTTTCTTTCTTTCTTTCTCTGGTTTGGCTGGAGATTTTAGTGGGCAGCATAATGGAAAGTTTGAGTGCCATGTTTTAGTGGCTGCAGAGGGAACAGACTCAGAGGGTGTAGTGAGTTCAAAAATTAGGTCATCACCACTCAGAAATGTACTTGTATAAACACACAATATCCCTTTTCATCTTGAGCATTTTTTGTAATATTACTGTTTCTGTGTTAATAATTACATTAAATTTTGAGTTGAAGAATATAAGCATCATATTTCTCTCTGTCTGTACTTTATGTGTGAAAAAGCAGGAAACCACAAAGAGCTGAGCTATTTTTCTGTGTTCTTTGAGAAAGTCTGTCAGTCACACATAAGCGAAGATTCACTGATACAAATCCACATTTGAATACAGATATATATGCACACAGTCACACAGCCCTACTGAATGAAGCAATAATAGTTTCCTCGACTAACCTGGTTGTGTTTTGTGCAAGCAAATGTAGCGTTTTTAACAGGTTGAGTTAAGTTAAATGGGATATCATTCTTTTTTCAGTTCAGTGTGTGAAAAATATGTGCTATGTTTCAACAGGGCAGAAATCGAGAAGGTGGAGGTCAACGTCAATGAGCTGGAGACGAGACTCGAGAAGGTGAGGAAATGCTGAGAGACTAATCATTAGGTGCAGAATCACTCTGAATAATGTACATATGACTGTACAGTAGATTCCAGATCAATATGAGAAACAACAAAAATGACCAGTGTAGTGTAAAATATCGGGTTGGCGTTAAAGGCACAATATGTAAGTTTTCGCCGCTAGAGGGCGCGTATGCCTTTAAGCATTTGAGACAAAGATTTGAAAATACTAATGTAAGTGCTAACAGAACATATGTGTGCCTAGACATTATGAAAAAAGAAAACATAGAGCATACAGCTATGGAAAAAATAAAGACACCACTGGAAAATCCACATACTCTGGATTCATCTGGATTTATAGCTATGTGTTTGAGTAAAACATAATTTTTGTGTTATTCTGCAAACTACTTACGACATTTCTTCCAAATTTGTAAATATAATGTTGTCATTTAGAGCATTAAATGACAGTTGGTCAAAATAACAGGTAACACTTTACAATAAGGTTCATTAGTTAACATGAACTAAGAATGAACAATACTTCTACTGCATTTATTAATCTTAGTTCATGCTAATTTCAGCATTTACTAATGCATTATTAAAATCAAAGATTGTGTTTGTTAACATTAGTTAATGCACTGTGAGCTAACATGATTTTATTGTTATTAACTAACATTAACAAAGAGGAATAAATACTGTAATAAATGTATTGTTCATTGTTTGTTCATGTTAGTTAATACATTAACTAATGTTAATGAATGACTCCTTATTGTAAAGTGTTACCAAATAACAAAAAAGATGCCATGTTTTCAGACATGTTATATTTATTTTTAGACAACACAATAACAATGTTTCAACTTCAGAGGAGTTAAGAAATCAGCATTTGGTGGAATAACCCTGATTTTCAATCACAACAAATGAAAGCATTTTTTTTTTTGAACAATTGTAAAAATTCTGCAAAAGAAAAATAATTCTCTAAATGATAATATTTTTATTTGAGATTTGGAAGAAATGTTATCAGACCTTTATAGAATAAAACAAATATTAACATTTTACTCAAACTTATACCTAGTAAATGCAGAGAAACTGAGAATTTTCAGGTGGTCTCTTAATTTGTTCCATAGCTGTATATATGACTGTTCAAAAGTTTGGGTTCAGTAAGATTACTTTTTGTAAAGAAATTAATACATTTGCTCAGCAAGTATGCATTAGATTGACAGTAAAGACATTTATAATTATACTCTCCTCAATGTTTTCAACAAATATTATCGTTAGCACCAAATCATCATATTAGAATGATTTCTGAAGGATCATGTGACACTGAAGACTGGAATAATGATGCTGAAAATTCAGCTTTGCATCACAGGAATTAATTACATTTTAAAATATATTATAATAGAAAACAACTATTTTAAATTGTAATAATATTTCACAATACTACTGTTTTTCCTGTATTTTTGATCAAATAAATGTAGCCTTGGTAAGCATGAGACGTTTTTTTTTAAAGCAAAAAATACTTGATCAAAAGTGTAAGTGTTTGCTGAATTGAAAATAAAATTGGAAAATGAAGTTCCTGTGTAGTTATATGTGTTGAAAATGATTGACGTTAATAGAATCCTAATAGAGGCTGCGCTTCTTTCTTTCAGGAATGTTTAGAAAAGTTTTCTAAAAAGCTGTCAGACATCGTCACTGCTCAAGAGGTGAGTCAAGTTCTTTCTTTTTACTTTTACTGTTACCACTGGTGACCAATGTGCCAACAATCTCCCTGGAGATCCTGTTCCTGTTTTTACTTTTCTTCTGGCTTGTGTCCCATTCCATGAATGATGTCTCTCCCCACAGGAGGTGATTGAAACCACACAAAAGTCTGTGAAGTTGAAGCTACAGAATTTTGTGAAAGAGTAAGGTGTTTTCTTCCTCTGCCTCTTCACTAAAGGAACATTTTCTTTACTGTATCACTCTACCAATAATATGAAGCTGTCTATAAACATATGCATGAACTTGGGAGTAAAGAATAATTCATAAATCTCATGCATTTTTCCATTTATTACTGACTCTTCTATTGCAACTATTAAAGGGTTAGTTCACCCAAAAATGAAAATTCTGTCATTAATTACTCACCCTCGTGTTGTTCGAAACCCGTAAGACCTTCGTTCATCTTCGGAACACAATTTAAGATATTTTTGATGAAATCTGAGGGCTCTTTGACCCTCCCATAGACAGCAAGGTAACTACCACGTTCAAGGTCCAGAAAAGTACCAAGATGATCGACAAAGTAGTCCGTGTGACATCAGTTGCACACAGTTGCATCTTGGTACTTTTTTGCGCAAAGAAAACAAAAATAGCGACTGTATTCCACATTTTCGTCTCTACTGCATCACCTGTGGACGTGCGTTCACAACAGTACCATGACGCGAGCATTCGCTATTTTTTTTTCTTTGCGCAAAAAAGTATTATCGTAGCTTCGTAACTTCGTACAGTTGAACCACTGATGTCACACAGACTACTTTGTCGATCATCTTGGTACTGCTAATATCTGTGTTCTTTTAATTCTACAGACAAGATCAAAAACTGCTCATTTGATGTTTAAAAGCTGTTGGAGATAGATTATTTATGCAACAATGTTTTGACAAAGTAATGACTCGATGCTACTGAGGAGCATAATGTTGAAATGTAGAAGTTTTAGACAGGAAACGTACTCACCTTCTACTGGCCTGCGAAAACCACAAAACCTGCTCATAGCTTCCTGTAAGCACAGGAAATGGTGAAAAGCTTAGCAAGACAAATGTCAAGAGAGATCTCTAGAGCCAAATCATAGTAGCGATGTTCTTTAGAGCGATATACAGATTGAAAATGAGAACATTGTTGGGATACAGGGGCAATGTAAAATCAGAGGTGGCTGTTTTTACAGATTTAGTGTTAGAGAACCAGGGACAAGAGGAAATGTAGTGTTTTGATGAAGTGACAGCAGGGAGTGGAAAAGAGAGGGGGAGAGAACAGGAAAGTCTGTGGAAGATAACAAGAGAAGGTGGAGGTGATCTTCATGAACTCTTCTTGATATAGGTCAAGAAGTTGAGCAAGTGCTAGCATGTCTTACATCCTTTCTCATTCAGTTCAGCCCTGAGTGACGTGCACTTTGACTCTTCACTCTAACTGTGGTCCAAAAACCCACCGCACCCCAGACAGACTACAATTATAGCAGACTTATCATCACAACTCTTGACTGGAAAAGTAAAATAATAACTAGGCCTATACACGGCAGTGGGGATTTAGACTGAGCCTCCGTGCATGTGTTTATAATTGTATGATATGCAATTAAACTTCCATTCTGAGATCTAGTTAAATGGTCCAAACCTCAGTCTCAAAGAGTTTCCATCTTTTCAGGACTTTCTATCCTATCTGCCAAACGTTCACATGCCCAATTCTGATTTTCAGCTCAAACCTGATGTTTGTTAGGTTGTCACATCATGTTTAAATTGGTATAAGATAGTTGTCTAAACAGGCAATGTTTCCTTGACTGCATGCGTAAATAAGTATATAAATATAATATGAATGTACATTTGTATTTATTTATATAAATTCATTTGCACATCATTCATGAATAATTTTATTTATAGGTCATATTAGACAAATCAAGCCTGCTGTTATGATGAAAATCAGATTGATGTAACATCAAATAAATTCATTTCAACCTGACTTTCCATAAAGGAAAAAATCAGATTAGAGTCTGATTTATTTCTACACATGTGACCCTGGAGCACAAAACCAGTCTTAAAGAGGTCCTATTCTGCTCTTTTACAAAGTCTTGATTTTGTTTTGGGGGTGTACTAGAACAGGCTCTCATACTAGTTTGTTCGAAAAAACACATTCATTTTCACATATTTTACATTATTGCAACACCTCTCTCCTCAGTCTGGCATGAACGGCTCGAATAGTTCCTGTATCAAATGAAGGCCCGCCTTCTGAAATACGAAATGTGCTGTGATTGGTTAGCTGGGCCAGTGTGTGTTGTGATTGGCAGCACTCGGCAACTGGTCGGGAAATGTCATCCCCTTACCATAGCTGCCTGCGAGCTTCAGTGATTGCTTCAGCTTACAATCATCCGCGATTTAAACCCGGATGATTGTAACCACTCTAAGTTCGTCTGCCTTGGGAAAGCTAGCATGTCTCCGACATAGTGATAACACTTGTTGCCTTCTCTAGTGCAGCTCAACCAGGTCTCGTGATTTCACAAATCCCGGAAAATATGCGTTGTAGTCCAAACGAGGCGTTCGTTGTAGTTTTTGAAAAGTGATTTCTGTTCAATAAAATATCTCCTTTTGAAGTGGACTTTGAGCTTTGTAACTTTGAAGATATTTTTCATGCTCAAACAGCAACATTACAGACTAACTAAAGTTGAAAAAGAAAAATTGACACTTATGGCTGGTTTTGTGGTCCGGGGTCACATATAACAAAGTGACCCAGGTCAGCATTTAAAATGTCAGTCAAACTGACTTTTGCATGTTGCACATCATCCGCACACACACACACACACACACACACAAATTGGGCCACTGTGATGTGAACATTGCCCATATAACTTTGATTTAGACACAAATACAAGACTGAACTGTAAAATGTGATTGTCATTTCTCCTCTTTTTCTCCAGTATACTCAACTAGTCCTGAATTCTGCAAGAGAGAAAAGGGACATGGAGCAGAGACATGGTGCTGTCAAGAAAAAGGTAGTAAGACTCTCTCTCTCAGACACACACACACACACCATTGTATCTGTACACAAAGACACTATACATGCATCTAAGGGAAGATATATTTGTGTGTCTGTCTTTAGGATGTGTCATATGATGACTCCATAATGGACTTCAGCCCAGATGCACCCAATGGCATCGCGATGGAAGGTTACCTGTACAAGAGAGCCAGCAATGCTTTTAAAACATGGAGCAGGTACAGCACTCCAGCTATTTGCGATTCAAACACAGAAATATTAAACAAATAATTTACATTAATACATTAATTTATTTAACAGGCAAAGTAATTATATTAAAAACTAACTAAATTAATACAAAACTAAATGTACTTATTTTTCATTAATTTCTTTAGCTATATTTTTAAAGCTGTAATAAATGACAATTGATTTATTTTAGGAGTAATAATTTTATATGCAACTTTGTGAGCAAGCACAAGCGTTTCTCTGTCTGTCTCTCATCATGCAGTTATTTGTGACTGAATTAGCACATTTGAGAACAATTTCTCTTTTTTAAATTCAATAGAATTGTATTTAATTCATTATTGGCATATAGTTTTAAAGTTATGCATTCGTTTACATTTATATTTTACACTGATGGTTTCCTGCTGTAGATATGTTTGCTCTTTTGACTCTTTCCGTTTTGCACATTTGTTCGATGAGTGTGATTTCAGAGTCTGTGAGTTCTGAGATGAATTGCATTCATATGCCTGACTGCATTATTAATACCTCGCATGGCCATGATGTGTGTGTCTGTGTGTGTTCGTACTGCAGGCGCTGGTTCTCCATTCAGAAGAACCAGCTGGTTTACCAAAAGAAACATAATGTAAGTATCAGATTGTGTAACGTAAGGATAACATAGCATTAACCAATAATAGTAATGACACATTGATTCACTCACACATACTGATGCATTTACACATTTACACACCCACAAACCACAGATAAAATGTTGGGAAATTGGAAATTTCTAGAGAATTGAGAGGCTGTTTTAAAAGTTCTCTTTTTCGGTGACATTATACGCCGCACATGCAGACCACATTTGTTTTATTTAAACAAGCTCTCCGTCTCTCTGTATCAGGAGCAGATCACTGTTGTTGTGGAGGACTTGCGTTTATGCACAGTGAAGCTCAGCAGTGAACAAGACAGACGATTCTGCTTTGAGGTCGTCTCTCCCTCCAAGTGAGTCTCTCTGTGTGTCTGTACACAAATCTGTCAGAACTGGAATATAATGTGTATGTGTATTTTTGAGCATGCAACATTTTCTGATTCCTGTGTTCTTGCGTTTGGGTTCTGGCTGTATTTAGACTGTAAGCAGTCCTGTAAATATGTTATTCTGCATTTAGACAAGTCTGTGCATAACCCGCCCATGCTCCAAATGACAGGATCTGTGTGTGTGTGTGTGTGTGTGTGTGTAGGAGCTGTTTATTACAGGCTGATTCAGAGCGACAGCACCAAAGCTGGATCAGCGCTGTCCAGAACAGCATCGCCTCAGCATTCCAGGACAGAAGAGATGACAATCTTGGCCCTGTATGTCACGCACATTCGCATTTAACTAAACACCTAACTGTAGACATACCATAGACTATAATACTACAGACTAGATATGTCAGAAGCACCAAGTCTACACTAAAATAAATAATAACGTAACGATAACAATCTTTCTACAGTATTGTTAGCACTGTCTGCAGCACTCACATGCATATTTAGACGTATGCTCTGTGAATAATCATATTTTGCTATGGTCAAATGTGCCTCTTGGTCAGAATGCCTTGCGTCTTGGCAGCACAGTCGATTTGTCTTAAGTGAATGTAAACAGGTGGGGCAAATAAATAACACGTATATATAAGGATATTAAATTTGTGCCTTAAGCCTTGCAGTGTAAATGTAGACCTGCCACTGTCTAAAATGTTAATCAAACTACACTATTATGAGAAAAAGGGAAAAGCACTTACATAATTTGTTTAATTTTTTTATTTTACCTTTTTAATTTAAATGTTTAATAAAATTTTTAAATTACAGTAATATTGATTACTGAACTACTATTGAATTTTTGTAAACCCCAACATTACCCCCTATTCTTTAAAGAATATGCATTCTTTTATATATAATGTAATATAAAATAATAATTTTTATTTTTAAATTTTGTATGATTTTTTTTATTCAGAGGTATGCATAGCCCACCCACTCGCCAACTGAAAGTATGTGTGTGTGTGTGTGTGTGTGTGTGTGTGTGTAGGAGCTGTTTATTACAGGCTGATTCAGAGCGACAGCACCAAAGCTGGATCAGCGCTGTCCAGAACAGCATCGCCTCAGCATTCCAGGACAGAAGAGATGACAATCTTGGCCCTGTATGTCACGCACATTCGCATTTAACTAAACACCTAACTGTAGACATACCATAGACTATAATACTACAGACTAGATATGTCAGAAGCACCAAGTCTACACTAAAATAAATAATAACGTAACGATAACAATCTTTCTACAGTATTGTTAGCACTGTCTGCAGCACTCACATGCATATTTAGACGTATGCTCTGTGAATAATCATATTTTGCTATGGTCAAATGTGCCTCTTGGTCAGAATGCCTTGCGTCTTGGCAGCACAGTCGATTTGTCTTAAGTGAATGTAAACAGGTGGGGCAAATAAATAACACGTATATATAAGGATATTAAATTTGTGCCTTAAGCCTTGCAGTGTAAATGTAGACCTGCCACTGTCTAAAATGTTAATCAAACTACACTATTATGAGAAAAAGGGAAAAGCACTTACATAATTTGTTTAATTTTTTTATTTTACCTTTTTAATTTAAATGTTTAATAAAATTTTTAAATTACAGTAATATTGATTACTGAACTACTATTGAATTTTTGTAAACCCCAACATTACCCCCTATTCTTTAAAGAATATGCATTCTTTTATATATAATGTAATATAAAATAATAATTTTTATTTTTAAATTTTGTATGATTTTTTTTATTCAGAGGTATAGTAGGTGCAGATTTTAGTGTTAGATTTGTTTAATTTTTTTATTTAGAATTTATTATTTATTTTTAAAAGTATATGAAATAAATTATTATTATTATTTTTAGAGTAAACTATTTAATTTCCACTTGCACACTCATGCCCAAAAGTGTGCTGAATTAAGCTGAATTAGCTAAAATGCTATATTTTAATGAAGGACATAAATGTGAGTGTTATAAAATGATGTGTGTGTGTGTGTGTGTGTGTGTGTGTGTGTGTGTGTGTGTGTGTGTGTGTGTGTGTGTGTGTGTGTGTGTGTGTGTGTGTGTGTGT